AGGCAGGCGCAGCGGGGGCCGCCCGCAGCGGCGGGGCACCAGCGGCTGCTGCCCACACCAGCCCCATGCCCAGTTCATGCCACCACCTCACCTGAGGCTTTGGGCGGTCGCAGCCCCTTGAAGCCCAAGGGTTTGAAGCCGGTAAGCGCCCAGTCGATCATGGGCTTCAGCTGCTCCTCCAGGGACTCTCCAGGGGTGGCTGCAAATGTCTTCCCTGACCGGCTCCGGACAACCTGCCGAGAGAGGAGGGATGGCGTGAGCTAGGGTGACCAGGGCTGGTCCCTGGCCGGGGAGCAGCCCGGCTGCAGCATGCATGGCCCACATGCCTGCCAGGGCCACGGTCCCAGGCCCCCTCCCCACCACACACACGCGCGCAGGGCTTGGTGTCCCCGGCACAGCGGCAGCTGCCAGATTCCTGCGCTGGGGGCGGCCGTGCTCCTGTGCCTCCCCTCCCTGCAATGAGCCCATCTGTCCTCCACCAGCCCCAATCCAGCTGGGAGCAGGGACAGCCCAGCCCCAGCTCTTGCCCAGACTCTGCTCCCTGAGACAAGCAACAGGAAGCAAAGAAAAGGCAGAAGAGGTGCCTGTGGGTTTGCAGCACTCTAACCTGGAAAGTTATGCATCCCCTGGATGGGGATCAGACCCACAGAGTGCTCAGTGCCAGCCCCGACTGCAAAGGGCATCTGGCACCAGCCCAGGACACCTCCTGCCAGTGTGACACTGCCTTGCAACCGCAATGCTGCCATGCATCAGAGCACCCGGAGGGAGTCAGGCCCCAGGGGGTTCTGGAGCAGCAGCAGTTACTCCTGAATCCCCCAGGATAAGCAGAGTTTGTCCCCATGGCTGCACTTGGAAATAGTCCCAGCAGAGAAAGTGTTTTCCTACAGACATCTGTCCACATCGCCCCAGCAGATGGGGGAAATGATTAATTCTGGACTGTGGCAGGAGCTCCCTCACTGATCGCTCTCAAGGTGATTCGCAGGCATTATCCAGAACCACCCGCAGATGCAAAGCAGAGCAATGTGCAGGGGCAGAGCCGGGAAGCCCCGGCCCCAACCACCTCCCCACACATTGCCCGAGCTCTGCAGGCGCCTGGGCTGAGCAGACACCCAGCTTCCCATCGGGGCATCTCCTCCTGCCCCAGCGAAGCGTTTCCTTCACTGGCTCAGCTGCATCAGCCACCCCGAGCACAGCCCATCTCTCCCTGCATCCCACTGCCCCCCACAGAGCACGGCCGCTTCACTTGGCACCTTATCCATCCAACCCCAGCTCTGCTCCACGGTTACCTCCAGGGCATGGTATATCGCTCGTCGGTAGGAGACCAGCTTATTAAATGTGGAAGAATTGAAATGCTGCCGAAAGGCCATCAGTCCCACCAGCTTGTCTGCAGAAACCTGGGAGAGAGCGACAAAAGCTTACCCGCAGGCATGGGCATACCTCACTTCGGCCGTGTCCCCCAGGGCACCGTGCCCCCCACGCTGCAGAGCCAGCCCTGCAGCGCAGCGGTTCCCAGCACGGCTCTCACGCCGCAGCCGAGGGCGCTGGGCCGCAGCCGTGCCGCGCTGCCGGGGCTTTGTCTGTACTGTGCAGCCACGCGAGGAAGCCCCGCGTCGCAGCCACGCGAGGAAGCCCAGCGTCAGCTTTGCAGAGGGCGACAAGCGGCAGGAGGAGGAGGGCATCACACTTGCAACGAGGACGGGTGTTTTGCACCCTCTGCTGGCACCGCACCTCTGCCGGCACAGCCAGCATGGCACGAGCACCCAGCACAGTGCTTCTCTCCCTCCTGCCTGCAGCCCAGGGGAAGCGCGGGATGGCAGAGGGGCGATGGGGCTCCGGGAGGGCATCCCTCACCAGGCAGGGAGCGACGGGGGCAGCCCTAGAGACCAGGGCTTGGACAAAACCCTGCAAAGGGGCCACGCAGACGTCCCCGTTGCTGGATCCTGCCACCAACCTATGGTGGCCAGTCATTAGTTATAGACACTAGAGCCACGAGCGCATGCCAGAGCCCAACTATGCTGAACACCTGGGTCCCTGCCCGGGGAGGCTGCAGCTGGGCACACACATACCCCAGAAGCAGCCCCAGGAATGGGACAGATGGCAGACATGCGCAGGGGAGGGGATTTCAGCCTGGGTGAAGCCGGGCGCAGGCAGGGGCAGGCAGCAGGCTTACCTCGGAGAACTTCCCGTCTCCGAACCACTGCACCCACCGCATGCCTGAGACAGCCTGGCGCTTGGCCGTGGCTCTGTAGGAGACAACGATTGCAGGCCACCAGGAGAAACCTTTGATCTTGCCCCAGACAAGCTCCCCAATTCCAAATTCCTTCCCATCCTGAAAGCAAAAAAGGACAACACAGATCAGCCAGAAGGACAAACTCCCCGTTTTATCCGAGCATCCGCACAGGAGAGCCCTGGAGCGTGGGGGAATGGCCACGGAGCACCCTGCAGAGCTGCTCCACCACGTGTGTCACTCGCTGGAGCGAAGTCACATGCGTGGACCTCTGCGCAATGACCTACAAAAGCTGCACTCCCCTCCCTCAAAAAAATGGCAGAACACATCCCCGGCAGTGCTGGCTCCCAGCCCTGCACCACGCAGGAGCTTGGCGGGAAGGTCTGCGTGTTGCCAGCCCCACACCAAGCCCATCGCCTGGCACGCACAGCGCGGTGCGTGCTCCGTCCTGCACAGCCCTCCTGGCACCGGCACGCCATGCATGCCCACTCCTGCCTGCCCTCCCAGGGTCTGTGCAAACACCGGGAAGCCTTTCCCTGCCCTCACACAAAAACCAGCAACGAGAAAGCTCCGGCTGTCACAGAAGAGCTTGCAGCAGCCCCGGTGATGGTAACGGGCAAGGCAGGCGGGCACCAGCTCCAGGGAATGCAGACAGACTCTGATCCCCTCGCCCACCACAGCCACGTTTGTCTGGGAGAACTCGGCTCACCGCATGCTGCTGCCGAGCCATGAGGCACGGCCCGGGCCGAGGGAAGCACGGCAGGGGAGGCTACGTGTCCTGCCTGCCGCAGGGAGGACTTTGCACCAAGGTTGCTCCCTGGGCTCACCGAGCAGACGAAGTTGCTCCTTGGCACAGGGAAGCCCCCTTCACAGGGCTCACAGCTCGGCTCGTCTGGCTGCACCCCAGGGAGAGGGCACCCATGCTCCTCTTGTTCCCACAGGGGAGAGCAGGAAACAGGGCAGAGCAAAAACAGAGAGAAGAAAATGAAGAGCTGGGAATTTTGGTGTGACCATGCCAAGGGCCTCCAACAGGCAGCCTGACGGGGGCCATGCTGGCACAGTGTTGTGTCCAGGGAGGCACCTCACGCAGGAGCAGTCACCTCTGCCTGCAGAGCCCCCCTTCCCAGCTTTGTTCTGCAATTAGGCACCTAATTATGCAGCAAGATGCAATTGCCCAGTTCCTGCAAGTCTCGGGCCCTGCCCTGACGCCCGCAGGCACTGAATCACGCTCCTCTGCAGCTCCAGCAGCTTCATTCCTCTCCAGCATCCCCCAACAGAAACATTTTCTGCACACGCAACTGCCTGTCTCGGCGAGGCAGGGCACGGCTGCCAGCCCGGCATGTGCTGCGCACGCGTCTCTCGGGGGGCCCTTGGAGGCTTTGCAGCCCCACGTGTGGCAGAGGTGGTGGCTCAGCAGGGCTGGTCCCCGCCCACTGCCCGTCTGCAGCAAGGTGCCCCCAGAGCAGCACCGACCCCACTGCCCTGCCACTGCCCGATGGATGGGGACAGCCCAGCACCGTCGCACCCTGGACACACAGGGAAAGGCAGGCAGGGAAGAGGAGGCAGGAGAAGCAGCAGTGAAGGTTTCCAGAGGGTCTCCTTGCCTGCAGGCTTGGGACAAGCCAGGAAGGTTCGTCCTCGCCCTGCACCGTCCCAGGCACAGGATCTCAGTGCAGGAGCAGAGTTTGGCCCCTCCGTACCTGGTACTCCAGCACCATCCCTGCATCTCTGCTCTCCGGCTCCTCGGTCCCCAGCTCGGCAGAGCCGTTCTGGCCCTCCTGGGAGCTGCTGCCGGAGAGCGTGCTGCTGCTCCGGGATGAGTCCTGGGAGTCCTCCTCCGTCAGGTCGATGGTGGTCACGGGGATGGACGTAGCCAGGCGCCGCTTGGAGCTCTGCGTGGCAGAGGGAGCAGAGCGTGAGTGTGGCAGGAAGGCGGGGAGAGGGGCAGGGAGAGCTGAGACCTGCCCCACGTCACCCCCAGCCCCTCAGCCGGGGAGCAGAGAGCAGAGAGTGAAAGCCAGGGAACAGAGGCACCGCCGCAGCCAGGAGCGGAGGGGAGGGCCCAGGGCTGGGGTGTCTGAGGGAGAACTGCTCTGCTTTTACTTGCAAGACACATAGAAAATGGTGCACCACTTGCTCTCTTGCCTTTTCCTCTCCCCAGTTCACCCCAGGGTGTTCAAAGCACCCAGTTCATAGCAGGGGCAAGCCACAGCACACACACCCCCACTTCACAGGGCAAACTGAGGCACGGAGAGGCTCCAACATGCCTGAAGCCACTTGGCCAGGGCACAGCAGAAGTGCAGGTCTCCGGAGCCCCGGAGGGGCCCAGGGAAGCCCCAGGGAAGCCCTGGCCCCTCAAAGACCCTCACCCGCAGGGGAGCTGGCAGGTCCCTGAGAGTCTCCACGCTGTTCGTTTCCTTGATCTTCATCTCATGCCGGGTCTGCCCTGCCTGGAAGATGAGGCGGACGGGGGGCTTCTGCCTGAGGCTGCTCTCCCAACCGGCGCTGCCCCGGGGCCGCACCTGCAACCAGAACAGAGAGGTGCTGCGGTACGGACGCCTTCCCCACACCAGCGGCACGCGGGGACAGGGACAGCCTGCGCTCCTCAGGGCTGGGCACCGGAGCCCTGGGGACGGGGGCACGGGGAAGGCAAGAGGAGCGCAGACGGCTGCAGGAGGCACCTTGGGCTGAGCCCCTTGGTGCGACCGTGCACTTCACAGCATCTCTGCTGGGCTGCACAGCCGTGCTCAGGAGCACCCATTGCTGTAGCCCCCAGCACCCTGCACTGGGGGCAGCGGCCCACCAGCAGCTGCTTACATCAACTTTTGTTTCCAGCTGCCATGTGCATCCTCGACTATACCCTCCTATACCCTCCCTCCTCGCAGCTACAGCCACGGCGGTGTAACCGATAGCAGCGGTAGCCAGCAGCCGGCAGGACCGGCCACCGGGAGAGCCACGGGCCCTGGCAGAGCAGCCATCCCAGGCATGGCACCCTGCTCACACACGCGTGGGTGCGCTCACACAGGTGTGGGTGTGCTCCCTCGCACAGCCCAGCCCTGCAGAGGCACCCAGGGCAGTCCCTTCCCCTGTGGTTTCGGCAGCCGCAGTTTACAAACAGTCTAACTCGGGCATGTTTCCTGCATCCGGCATAACAGAGTTTCAAAATGAAATGAGATTTAGCAAGTAAAGAGCCCCTGAACCCAATCTAGTGGGAAAGCAGAATTTTCACCCCAGTTAGATTTATGGCTCTTTCTTTTGGAAGCTGCCTCATCACAGGCAGATCTCCAACTTTGGGGTTTTATTTCAAAGTCAAAACAATAAAGCCAGAAGGCAAAAATGCTTCCGGACCCTAGAGGTTTGTCAACCTAGTCAACAAAAGGGGGGGGGGTAAAACTGGGATCCAGCCCCAAAGCGTCTAAAAGCAGGCCACCCCGAGAGTGGGAGACACAAGATGCTTCGGTCCATCAATACGGCCAAGACTTTTTAAAGAAAATATCAGCATAATAATTAGACTGCTGCAAGACATAGTGGGCATTGCTACATCACACACCACACCCTCCTGCTGCTGCTGACATAATGTAAATCAGGAATTTAAAAATGAAAACAAATACCATGCTTGTAAATGAATATTCCATCTGCCATTGGGCTATTCCTCCGGCACCGAGCACGAGAGCTGCCCCAGAGCAGAACAGGCGAGGGTCCTGGGCACCAGCTGCCCCCCGCAGACAGCCCACAAAGCCTCCGGGCAGCAAGGTCTTAGAGCAGCCTTGGTGAGCACTTACCTCCTGTGCCCCTGCGAGAGCAAGCGGCCAGGACAGGTCCTCCTTGGAGAGGTCTCCCTTGCTCACCCTCTTGTTGTTCTTCAGGGATGGCAGCCCCAGGCCCCCGGCATCTGCGCGGGGACAAGGCAGAGCAGCCTCAGGCTCCGCGAACCATCCTGGCCGTGCCCCCGCACGCCCCCGCCCGCGACTGCTCCGAGCAGCAAGGCACGATTTGAAGAGACCGAAACCTCATCTTGGAGAAATGTGGCCGAGAGTGGAAGACAAGTGGTGTCCCCGAGGCTCCCCATCGTGGTACTGCTGACACCGGCAGTCCCAGATCACCCACCTGCCCCCAAAACTGGAAGGGACTCTAATAGCAAGTGTGGGGACCTTCCTATGTACTTTTTTGTTCCTGAAAGCTCAGAGGCATAAGGAAACCATACGACTGCTATTCAGGGCTTGTCCCAGTTCATTTAAAGCAGGACCCCATGAACCCAAGAGGTGGGATTTGGGGATCACAACTGGAGCATCCTAGGAGCTGCGATGCAGCCCCTCGGGCCGGCAGCACTCCTCAGGTGGGTGGGGGCTCCCCGCCTCCCTTGCTCCCGGGGGGTTAAACCATCAAGGGGCAGAGCCAGCATCCCAGCGTGGCACCCGTTTCCACAACCACTTCTGTCACCATGGCCTGGATGTGCCGCCGGAAAGCAGAAACCAGCGGAGTCACGGAGGGACCCCGGCCATGGCCGCGATGCTGCAGCCCCCAGCAAGCCCTCGGGACGGCGGCTGGGAGATCCCTGGCCCCGTGCATCCCTGCGCATCCCAGGCATGGCACATCCTGGACACGGTGCGGCGAGACTCACCTGGAGCGCTGGGCTTCCCATTCGCCTCCAGAACAAGGGTGGGTGTGTCGTTAGCAGGATCGGTGCAGTCCCCGTTGATGAGGATCAGCTCTGCCCTGCAGTCCGCCTCGTCCCGGCCGTGGCTCTTGTCCTGTTTCATGGTCGCCTGTGGAAGCCACAGTGGAAAGGAAATTTAGCAGTGCAGAAAGCCCCAGGGAAGGCAAAGCGGACAGCGTAAGCTCTTCAAGCCAGCCACAGCTTCTTATGCCCTTAGCAGAGGGGTCTGATGGGAGACGCATCTGGAGTGGCACCGGGAGCTAACGGGCACCTGGACAAAACCTCCCCACAAACATGGTGGTGGTGGCCAGATCCACCAGCTCCAGCAAACGGAGGCCCCAGATGCAACCCGCTTGCCCTTAGGGAAGGACCGGGGCTTTTCTCCAGGACTGCGCTGGCCCAGCCCCGCCATCCGTACGCCACGGAGCGCTCCTGGGCTTGGTGCTGCCCAGCCCAGGCTGGCTCTGCCGGAGCGGTCCC